CGCTCGCCCTCCGGGCACTCGCCCTCCGCCGCTGCCAGGCAGTGGAAGAGCACGTTTGTCAAGGCACAGGTTCGGCCCCGCAGGAAGAGGAGGTTCCACAGCCACTGTCCCCTGCCAGCTCCACACGTGGGTGGCAAAGGCCAGCGGAGGAGTCCGAGGAGAGCAGCGATGCTGCGGGAAGGGACATGAGGCTGCAACAGGTATTGGTACCGCTGCCGGGGGGACCCAGGCTGGTACCACAGCTCCTAAAACTGCAGCCTCAGGTTGTGGTCCAGACTGGTGAGAAAAACAGGTCCCTCTGCAGCCTGCAGGAACCCCAACGGCGCTCAGAGCAAACGAAGCCCACGGGACAGACAGACTGAGTCTTTATTCACAGTATTTCCATCGCCACAAACAGCCACGCACAGATAGATGCTCCCTTCTCCATCCCCGCTACAGCAGCAAGGGAAACGCTGCAGGGAGCCCGGCCTATCCCAGTAATGGAGCAGGAGCCGTCACCAGCACGAGGCTCCCAAGCCCCCTCTCCCAAGCCCACCTGCTCCGAGCTCAGATTGGACACTAAACGTGCAAGACCAGAGCGCAAAAGGGGCTCAGCCCCTTGCCCGTATCCGAAGGCACAGCCGGAAGATGCCCTGTATTCCCTCGCCAGGTTAACGACTTAGGCACATTAAGAGGTTTCTTGTCTCAGGAGGCACTTGTTTTCTTCCCATTTGGAAGTAATCAGGGTCCCCAGCCCCTGGGGTTTGCAAGCCCTGATACACACCAGGTAGAGAGAGGAGGCATTTTAGCAAGAAACAGCCAGACTCGAGGACAAGAGCCAGGCTTTGTGGGCAAGAGGGCATCCAGCCCCGCTTTAAAAAAGAAAAGGCCAGATTCAGCGTACGGGCCTGACCGCGCTTCTGCTGCCCGCACGGAGACGCGCTGCGGGGCGGGCGGCCTCAGGACCAGGTGATGGCAAACGGCTCCCACATGGGCAGCGACACGGGGACGGTCAGCACCTGGGGAGACGAAGGGGAGAACCAGAGTCAGCGAGAGGAGTGGGGAGGGGGACAGGGCTGGGCTTGTGAGGCCCCACGCAGCCCCTTCCCGCTGGTGCCACCTCCGGGCTGGTCACACAAGCGCCACGGATGAGCCCTGGCCTTGCTCCTGCCCAGCAAAGCCTCCCCTTCCCCATGGGCTTGGAACAAGCTAGGAGGCCAGAGGCACTTGCCTGGGTGTCGCTGCGGTAGGAGAAGTCCTCCACGGGGGTCCCATTGGCCAGGACTCGCCAGGGGGCACTGGTGACACCCAGCACGGTCACGGCTGTCAGCAGCAGCCCGTCCGCCTGGCCGCGCGTCCGCAGGAGCTCACTGAGCACGGCGCCCTGCGGTACAAAGGGACACGGGAGTGGCAGAGCCCCAGGCTACACGGGTGGCCCTGCCCCCTCCCTGCACCTGGAGACCCTGCCAAGCTGCCCCGCGGGGCCTGGAAGAAGCAGCATCAAGGGGTGGGGAGAGGTGCCCCAGTGTCCCCAGAGGACATGGCCACATTCCTGGGCCTGCAGCCTGGCCCCAGAACCCAGGACTTGCTGATCTCGAAGGCCTCTCCAACCAGAACGATTCCCTAATTCTATGATTCTAGGAGGGAGCTGCCACGGGGCCGGGCCGGCTCCCCACCAGGGCCGGGCACAGCGGGTCCCGCTCCAGCTCGTGGGTGCCCAGCACGGCTGGGAAGCGCCATGGGCTGCACCGCCACAGGGCCCTGCCTGTCTGCAGGACACACACAGTGCAGGGCTGGCACAGCCGAGTGGCTGCCCCCAAACCTCACAGGGCCATCGCGGGGCCGCGGGGCTGAGCAGTGGCCCGAAGCCCTGAGGGAGCGAGGAGAGATCGGCCTCAGCTGCCGCTCCGGGGGATTTGCATCCAGTAACTGAGGGAGATGCCCTGTCAGGAGCCTCCTGCCTGCACTCACATGTGCCGCCAGGAAGAGCAGCTGGGTGTAGTCCCCGTTCTCAAAGGTCTGCAAGCTCTCGCCGTCATCCCAGAACAGGTCCCCCCTGGCAAACCCATCCGTCGTCAGCGCCACGATTAGCGTCATCCCCTTCTTGCGGGACTCGGCAGTTCTGAACGCAGGCTCCTGGGGGTGGGACACAGGTGGAGGGGCTCAGACAACCCACGCAGCAATGAGAGAGCTGACGATGCCTGCAGGGACATCTTTTTTACCCCAACCCTGGTGGAGAAGTGAAGGCCTGCAGTTTGCTTTGCAATGTCTAGTTTGCAGGTAACTACTTCATGTCCTGCCCTCTTGCACATAGATGGCTTTGATTGCAAAATATCACCAGGGCTTCACGTTGATAGAGGGAACTCACCTGTAGAGGCAGGATGTGTCCTGCCCGAACATGCACATTAATGGTGTCCAGGGGAGCTGATAAGAGGATCCACTGGCCTTTGCTGTGGATGGTTGAGTCCTACAGAGCAAGAGCAAGAGCAAAGAACACACCTTGAGGGCCAGCACGTCCAGGAAAGCCCCGAGCCAGAGCAGATCACAGCTTTCAAACTCCCAGGAAAGAAACCCCACAAGAGGCAAAATAATAATAACTGAATAAATAACTGAAGCTTCGGGAGAACTCGGCCACAGCAGAGGCGTGATGGAGGAGCAGAAGGCACTGCTGGCCCAGAGCTTCTGCTCAGCACCGAGCTCCTGGGCAAGGAGCACCTACCCCAGCCAAGCTGTACCACGTTCCTGCAGGGAAGTAGCCGCTGACTTTGGTCTGTCCTGCCTCGAGCACCGGCGTGACAAGGAGCTCCGCACCCCACATAAGCTGGCGGTCCACAGTCCAGGTGTTGGGGTCTTTTGGGAACCTGGGCAAGGATGCGCAAAGCAGGATGGTGACGCCAGGGCGGTTCCCTGCGAGACGCTCCGCGCTTCCTTCCCACCGAGCCCTCGCAGCCTGCAGCTCCGCAGGGCCCGCAGAGGATGCGCGTGCGGACACCCTCCCTGCCCCATCCCGCAGCCCAGAGACACCCCCCTTGCTTCGGCACCATCACCCTGCCCGCAGGCCCTGTTGGGCACTCACTCGAGGAAGAGGGGACGCGCCACCGTCTCCCCGGCGGAATGAGCCTTGTGGAAGAGCGCGG